ACCAAATACTCTTTCCAGAAGTCGCAAAAAGACCTGCGTCAGCTTGTAAGTTAAACAAAATAGGCAAACCACTGTTAGGTTGAGCACGGATGAACAACTATAGTAAACCTTAGTGTTGGAACATCCACGAATCACGGACGTAAAACAGATATCAAATCTGAAAGAAAGTAGTACTAGCCCAGCCAACCAGTTTGACCGGAAAGACCACCAATAAAGTGTGTTGAGGACAGTTTGGAAATTAAAGTATGCTACGTAGGGTGTATGAAGGTAGCTATTGTTGTTCGCACCTTGAGTGATCGTCATTGATTGCCGTCTGTGGCTTTCGTATTCAGAGCATGCTGAGCACTGCTGATCGGCGGGTGCACATTAGCACGTAAATGGGATGAGTTGTTTGTGATAAAGTCAATGGAATAGTGGTCAGCTCATGTTCGCATCCAAATCATAACGGTTGAAGGTGAAGTCTTTGTCTACATAAATGTATGCAGTATTCACCAGTACATTATTTGGCGAACACATTGCGACACAGGAGAGTTTCCCTCAGAAGTTTGTTGGCCGAAACATTTAGTAAAATTTGACGAATATCATCAAGTGTGAGAAATGCGGAGTTTTGAATGTTCCAAACACCAAACTACTTAGACATTTGCTAAATGATTCTCGAATTATACTCATTTGGGTTGAATATACTACTTTGGGGGTCGGTGGTATGACTTTACAGTTTAGCCGACTGAATAAATCATGTGCAGATATATGTCTCCTTTTGCTGTTTACTATTGAACCCGGTCCTATATATCTGGTGCTTGGACTTATCAAAACCACATTATTATTAACGGTTGTACTATTATTGTTCTCATAATTATAATGATTATTAAAACCGACTTCCAATCCAACTGAACTCCTAGTTCATCCACTGATATACGAGACTGCATACATTCTGGTCAACAAAATCCGTTCATCGGTGCATTAATGTTGCACACTTTCGGCCTACCCCTGTCTGAACATAAATTTCCACGTGGTCACAAAAGCTTCGTTACTGCTTCGTTGAGTTTAACCTAGGCCTGGTTGAGTCACTTCACATGTACGCAGTTTTATGATTTTGCGGGATTAATAAGGTGTCGAATCATGTTTCGATTGTCAGAACACATTCCAACAGGAAACAGTTACGTGTTGATGTGGTTGGATTCGTCTGTAGTCATCGTTTGTTCGTTAACTTATTCACTTGATGACGACAAGACATATCATCACATTGTCTGTAATATAAAGATCCAATACACATATTGTGTACGACTTGGATTACAGTTTCATTAGGGAACACATATTTCGTTTGATCGATACGCTCCCGACTCTCCGCAGATTAAACTGAAGACGACTTTTTCAATTCTGGACATTATGCTGGACTAGTGGAATGCCAGCGGACTTTCAAGTTGAAGAGACGAGCTGGTGTCGGTGTGGGACTTGAGATGACATTGATCCGATTAACAGACCCCATATCACTGCAAAACTCTACTAAAAATGGAAACCCTCGATCAGTCAATGAGACACCTTATATAAACAGAGTAGTAGAATGCTATCAGAATGTCTTCAGCTGACGGACAGACAACCGGTTGAACGAAGCAACTCCAAGGAAGTTTTTTAAACATTTGACAGCATAGCCAGACTAAATTTTCTCAATGGGTCTCCCCGCAACTGTATCACACAGACAAACCTTACTTGCACGGAGAGAAGGGGAACAGAGTGAAAGTATACGTACGATTTTCTGACAAGTGCACACACCTGCCGGCCTGCCTGTCTACTTGCCACAGTAGAATAATCACTCGATCATAGGCGAAAGACAAGAGCGAGAATGTTGGATGGCTTGCAGACCGGATGACCGTTGGCTTGCCCGTGCACGTCGGTGTTTATGTACACACAGAACAGTTTATCGAATCTATTCTTCTCAAGGAGCTGTTTCCCTATGTCATCCTCAATAGACTGGCGTTAGCACACACGCCATCTCTATCTTACATGCACACAATGTGGACATGGACGATCAATCAACCTACCTTGTACGGGATCGACCGCACGCAAATTTTTCTTAACGAGGGGAGAATGAGACCAACGAAAGTTTGTTCCAAATGTACTTTACTTGACAAGCCTGAGCCAACCTGTTCCACATCATTTGGTGAGTGAGTTGTGAGATAGCTTGTTTGTCAGTTTCTACCTATAAACAAAACGAAAAATACAGCCACTACAACCATCCAAATGGATTTGAAGTTCTTAGCACTGAACAGATTGAACGACAAATACCAGATTTGAAGCACTGGGTTCCCTTGATCCAATTCATCAGAACAGCAAGAAAACAAACGTTGCAGGATGTTAACATTATGAAATTCACTTTTGAAAATTCACTTTGTTCAGCTATTGTTGCCGTGCACCTTTGTTATATATTATGTCCGTATTTAGCATGCAGCTGATGAGATAAATGCTAGAATATCGAAGTAAATGGAGTAACGAGTCACTAGTTTTGTAACCGTCAATCAACAAAATGATGGTAAGCGTATGGTATGGTTGATTGGGTCTCATCTACAGAACAATAGACCAAGCCTGGAACGATCTATTGTTACGCCGTGGTCTTCAGGAAGTGTCACACTCTCCACTCTCTAATCGTTGGCTGTTTAATCCAGATCGCATCTTCCGCAGAATATTTATTCGTGCCATCCAGCTCCGATGTAATCTGTTGAGGACCAAAGTCCGAAGTTCACGAGGTGGTCGAAGTGACCACTCAGTTCTCTGCCGTGGCGACTGCGGTCAACCTGAAAGCCTCGCTCATATTCTACAATCATGGTATCCTTCGACTGGAGCTGCCCTCCCACGCATTCACGGATTTATGTCTACTGACTGTTCTAGGTTTCCTAAAAACTTACGACACATTTATGCGGGGAACCTGGCGTTAATTGTTACCACCTCTCTGACAGTTGTCTCGTTATGAAGGACACTTTCTGTCCCGATGTGTGAGCCCTGACTGTTACAGCACTTTTGTGCCCTGAAGAGCCTTTTGAGTTTCATAAATACTGACCGTTTATCTATTTTCTTCTTATCATTTTTCGTGTATTTTTCTTTGAATTCTAAACCCGTTTGTAATACACAACACAAGTAACTTTTCATTTGATGACTTGCTCATTAACACGTGGTATCATTATGAGAGGATTTGTCATTTGTTCAGTGTTGCTAACACACTTGACATACAGCCTGTTTTTACATTCACCCGTTTACACATCTGTTGCTTAATTTTGGTGTCATCATTTGTTCTTCTCTTGAACGAAGCTGTGTATATTGCACTTCAAAATAAACGATATAGTAGTAGTACTAGTGGTCGACGTTTCGAACCACGTTCTTGTGATGCCAATTAGACAATCTCCGCACAAACCTTGACAGTCCAAGAGTTCAGCTTCACCACATGGGGTCTACCACTTTATGTGATTTCACAGTGCCCAATGAAATCGATAATGATGATGCAAGTTCCGTCGGTGTCTATGCGCTGGCATCCACCAATACACAGGAAAGAAAAGCAAATTATTTCTGTTCAGAATGTGGCCAGATGGGTAACTCTAACTCTGGTTTGTAGCCACATGTTCGTACTAATCGATATATGGATGCAGTTGTAAAAAAAAAGGACGCTCAGCCACTCATAATCTTTGGTTGCACCAACTGTGAACGTAACTGTGCGACCACGATTGGTCTCAGTCAACACAGTAAGTATCGGCCTCCCAGTGAATCCAAATGGGACAAACTCAGATGCAGAGTCTAACTGGTTTCAGTAGGGGTCGGTTCCTTTCCTCACATATGCCAACGAACTAATCCCGTCCTACTCCACTCAAGGTGAACTTCGTCACCAGCTAGAGCCGCATCTTCCAGGTGGTTCGCTAGAGGGTATCCGGACACGTTTATACGCACTGAATTGGAAGAAAAGATCTGTTATTACTGTCAGTTTAGCCATCGTTTCTCAGCCAAAAGTTATGTTGAATGCTGAGTCCTAAGCAGTGAAACACTTTGAGTGGTTTGTCTGTTTGGTTCATACAGTGGTAATGTAACCGTCCTATTTTGCACAAATCAAGAATGAAGAAAGTGCTCTGCAGTTAATGCCCAGTTTTGAGGAATATAGTCAGTTTGGTCCCACCATGAATGAAGCATACGTTTCCGCAAGCGCTCAAAATTTGACGGTGACGAACTGGGAGGAGGCTCGTGTAGCGTAGATAGACACACTTTGTTATATGCTGGACGATCAAGGTCTTCGGGAGATGTCCGGTACCCCACTCACCAGTCGTTCACTACACTATCCAGGTCGTATTTTACTCCAAGATCTTCCTCCGTGCTTTTCAGTCTTGACCTTGCCTTCTACGGACCGCTGTTCGAAATTTTCGAGGTGACCGACGTAATCACTCTGTGTCGTTGCGACTGCGGTCAACCGAAAAGCTTTTCTCAATTATTCAATCGTGCTAGATCAAACACTGCGTGAGTTGCACTTGACAAAACCAGACGGCCAAAGAAATGTCGAAAAGAATATGCAAGCTGGAATATATAGTCTTCGAGAAGCTACTAGTACCAGTGAAATAGTCGTACTTCAAGCGTGGAGTGACGAGTGAGCTGTGTTACTACAACTCCGTATCGTGGATGATTTCCGAAGCCAAGTTGTCTGGAATGACAAGTTTGAAGAATAAAGGAACGACTCCCGTAATTTTGCCATTCAGCTGGTCCTCCATATCATGGACTGTTGCCTGGATTCAACCTCTCACATTCTTGTGATCATCACATTCCGATGAATCACCTATCTTTCAAATACTATTCTTCCATAGACACTGTTCACCTATACAGTCGCTGATTTCTGATTACTGCCCACGCTGAGTTCCTTGACAAATCACGTCACATTTATACGAGAAACTTGGCGTTGACTGTTGTCATTTTCCTGACAGATATCTCATAATGAAAGAATATATCCAAATGTGAAATTTCCGAGCTCCTGGTGTGGCTTCGTAGCACAGCTAGTAGAGCGCTTGCCTCGTTGAGGCGTGGTGTTCCTGTCACTGGTTCAAATCCAGTCGAAACCCTGACTTTTCACAGTTGGGTCTCATCTGAATATAGTTCAGTTTCGATTTGTGAGCCTTAATTGTACTAACACTTTTGTGCCCTGGAGAACCTTTCATTTTTCAAAATTTTGATTTTTTTCCGCTCCTGACAGATCACTTGAAATATTTTCATTTAATCACCATGAATTACCTATATTTGTTACTCTTATGAAATGAATTGTTAATTTTATTATGTAATTGCGCATGCAGTGCCCTAAGCTTGACAGCCAACTTATTTTGCACATCTTTTTCTATTAGCATTCCTGTTGCTTACATTCTGATATCACCGATTGGTCTTTTGTTTGTTGAAAAAGGCTGTGAAAATTTCTATTGAAAATAAACAGTATGCAGTAGCATTAATTTTAGTGGTAGCCACACTTATAAAATCACGTCCACGAACAATACCGTAGCACAATTTCCATCCACCTACACATTTGGCTTAGAAATCACATCATAAAGGGAACGGAGTTATTGTGCAAGTAACCTGGGAGTAAATTGAGAGAATTTTGCCGATGCACGGGGAAAGTGAGCACACCAAATATATGTGCTAGACATAGAGAGATGGAATAAGACCTAACTGGTCGAATGTCTGTCATATAAACACTGTCATCATAGATGTGGATTAACCAAAAGCTCTGTTCAACTAATGGTTCAGCAATATCTACATATGACTATAAGCGGTAGTATGAGCAAATAATGACGGGGTATACAGTGTTGGTCGTAACCCCAGTAACCAGTGTCGAATACTAGATACAGGATTACAGATATCAACCGAGTAATTTATTTTGGCGCACTTAAAATTTCACAGGGGAATTTGGAAAGATTTCCCAGTGGACAACCAGTTAATTTCATCTCTCAAAATCAGCATCGGTTACAACACGAAAGCAGTTTCCGTGATAAAAAAAACTGATATGTGCAAGATATATCATATGAAGAAGAACATTGCAACGAAGACAAAACTGTACTGTCATCCTTAAATAGCTGTGTACTTGGTGCTGTTCGCCAGTAACCTGCGCGCCCTAACACAAAATACTATAAATCATATCGGGACCATTATGAAACGTGGCCACCGTGGAATTTTCGGATGGAAATGATAAGCAAATTGATGACTATACACACACGAAGGAGGATATGAGTTACAACACAAAGCCAAAAGCTTACACCATATGGAGAATTTCGTCGAATCCACGACTGTTTGTCTAAAGTTGATCAGCTGATGTTGCCCAATTCGAATGAACCACATAAGTGAATAGATCAACCGCCCCCACAGATCACTGTACGGAAAAAATTCAACAGAGGCATTCCACGGTTCTTTGTCTTAATTCACAGGTGACCGATTTTCGGAGTATCCAGTGTTACTCGACACCTTTTAACCTCGGCTATTCTTGATATTTTCATCTCAGGATATTTGCACGGTTTGCTTCAAACACCTTCCATCATTATCCCCAATCTGCGTTCTATCTGATGCATACAAGCAAACGCAATAAAAACGTCATATATATATATATATATATATATATATATATATATATATATCTGACTAGTTTGCCAAAAACCAAAAACCGCAACTACTGAAGTTCTGATATGAAACTGTGCCAGTGCGTATGAATACCACCTCAGTCCAATGAAATATAACAGCTGAATTTCCAGCATAGTTTGGTCGTATTATTTTTTTTCTACACTTTACTTAACTGATCACTACTCACAAGTGAAATTGGTTGATTGTTCACATACGATACTTCGGTCGTGCTTAATATGAGGGGAATGATGAAGTGGTCAACACAGTTGCCTCATGAAAAGCGTGGCGGGAGGTCTAGTCCCGGCAGTGGCAACGACATGCACTATTGACGAGCTTTAATAAGAACGAAACTCGAGTCTAGTGCTTCTTTTCGAAATGGGCTGACTGGAAAGTCTATGGGAATGCGACACCTCCGATCAACTGTCGGCGATGTTCAATCTATATGATAACTAGACACGTCAACGGTGTTAACACCTCGGTTTGTTCCATTAGTTGAATTTGTGGAAACCTTAACACACAGTGGTTGTTACAATCACTCTACAGACGCATCTGTTATCTATATGCTTTTAATACTATCGCAAAACCCGTTATAAACTAGTGTTTAACTCGTGCATGTGTATCAGCCGTATCTTCTACAATAAGCTGTACTAGAGGCCGCGGGGCACGCGGTGAGATTCGTGGTATGGACCATCATATCCAGTCTGCATAACTTCCATCACCAGAACATGACTAACGATCACTCGGAGTATCATTCATCCCCTTAGAGCTTCCGAGTGTCCTTTACCCCAAAGAGGCTCGATCCGAGAAACACTAGTGTACTACAGAATGGCAACTTATAAACACCTGAACCTTCAAAAGAGTTACGTATAGTTTGTTCTTCGCATGTGTAATGTGCTTGAAAGTGTCATGACATGTAAATCACCGCATATTAGTGAATTTAGTCTGACTTTCTGTATGCCAGCAATTGTTAACAGAATGTATCTAGCAATTTTGTTTAAATCTCATAATTTATCTGTTGATTAACTCAATCAAATCTTATCATTTTAACTGTCGTATGTCTTCTGGGCCAAAGGGTTACACTTACTTTGTCTGACGCGTGCACACTGATCGTTTTCGGTGGGCGGAGATTTGACGTGCATTCCGCCCTCTACAACTGTGCGTGTGGGGGGGGACAATTGCCTGAATAAGAAATGTTCTACGTACGCATGCTAATGTTCTCTGTTGCGGTCTCCCCATCATGTGTGCTAACGAATTTGAACCATGGTCTGGATCATGTCAACAATCTGTGTTCTGTGTAGGGTACGTGTGCCATCAAATTTTGTGAGACGCTCATCGAAATCGAGTGCTAGCTTAAGTGGTACACTTGAAATGTGTCACAGCGTCCACTCGGCTTCAAAGCCGGTTTCTCCCATTTCCCCATAGTGCACGCGCACACTGACCCGACTGATGCAGATGATGTTGAGAGTGGTACAACATTGGTCACAGTAAGGGGAAGTCAAGATGTTCAGCGAGTTTCCAAAAGCGCAGATGGGTTTTAGAGAATGGGAATGGAATCAACAGATTAAATTTCTTAACGTCTTCTATGATGGCGAAATACCGTGTGTCACATCTGGTCCGAGCAGAAATTCACTAGGAGTTTTCCAGATTAACTTTATTCTTCACTGGGTTGTATTTGTTACTGATATCAAACTAATGCGTTTCTATCCACAGAAAGTATGGAACTATTACACCTGGTAATTATCTTTACATTGTATTTTCCCACTGCTCCAGTTTTGGGCAATTTTGTTCAAGCTACCAGATTAGAAGAGTGCAGGATTACACAAATGACACATAGAACAGGTCATTAGTTCTGAATACTCACCTTAGCGGACCCATATCCCATGGGCTGAATTTGTATTCCTATGAAGTCCGTTATTGTAATTGTTGCTAGAAAGTGACCAGCTAACAGAGTTTCTATCGGTTTACCTACTGACTTAGAGCAGCGTTATTCGGTCTTTTAACGTCCATCGTCTCCATACGGAATTGTCTCTGATCAAACATCCTGACTGGACTACAACTTTAGTAGAATTTAAGATGCTCCCTCGAATTAGTGAAATATGGAAAAGTTAAGTTACATTCTACACCACTCACACGTACGGGGTTGATATGTTCGAAATAGTAAGTCCCTTGTTCGACGCCTGATGATAAGTCATAACTAAGCTATATCGCTACAAGCGAGCTACTGAGATGTGAAAGTCTAGTGGTTATCCATCTGATGAGTCTTGAAAGACGTTGAAAGGAATCACAATGTCTGTGCAACAGTGGACCAATCGAACCGAAAAGCGCTTGGGTTATACACGGACTCCAGATTACATTGGTGACCACATCAATGCAGTTGCCTCCAGGAGCCAACACAGCTTACTCAGGGTCGTATGTCATTTGCCGAGGCATGGGAACCGATAATCAGTTTGCCAGTCTTCGTTATTCAGTTGCGATTCCTTGAATGGTGAACTATGTGGTTGTCATGTCGTGATAATAAGACCTACCGTGTACCCTAGAATAGTGTCATGTGAACTGTGCACATCTCAGCTGTTATGTTAATAGGACTGCACAATAGATAACCGGGCCAGGTAGTTGATCACCAGATATATAGCGATAATTTACTTTGTGGAACGTTGGCAATTTCTTATAGTAGAAATATATTTTAGGCTAACAGAACGATTAATCGGCCGATCGTTACCCAGTTGTGCAAACATGGTACTCTATTGTCTACCTAATCAGACAACGGTGATTTGAAGGTGTGAATGTAAATAACACTGTTGACATCTTTCAAATAATTCAATCACCTCCCAGTAGATTATATCGTCCTTGGTAATGAATGGGTATTTGGTTGCCACCGTTAGAAAAGGTCGATTTAGCATACCGTAGGAAATTGTTAACTTCTGATTGACATGCATCGTCTACTTCTGTACAAGTATACATAAACCAGTCACTGTTACTTGTACAATAGTTGCCAGTGCTTTAGACTTTCTTGGTTTTCCATCACAATTATTTCTATTTATCTTTGCCACTGAATCGTTGATTGTTGTCTATTGAGGTAGGTTTCGTATGGATAAAACTGATTACAACATGAAAGAATGTATTAGGATTTTTTGCACTTTAATGCGGTGATACCTATTGGGATACCTTGATGGTGCGGTTGAGAAACGGTAGAGACCCAGGAGACAAAGAAAGATCATTAGTTAGCGAGGTGATCGAAGTTCACAATCGTTAGTTCAATCAAACCTCAGCATGTTACCACACATTGTAAACTGCCTCTTTATGGTTATGAAATATCACGATAGAAATTGTTGTCATTCATACAATATGGGTCGTAATGGCTCAAAAATCTCGATGATATGTTATTCTGGATAGCAACAGACAGATGCTTCCAGATGTGATATTCCGTTTATAACAGACCATTGACCGGCCAACTGTAAGGTTT